AATAAAATTAATATATATCTTATTGAATGCTATTTTTTATTAAAGTTTAATATGGTAGATAAAAAAGGGGGAATCCTGCATTTTTTTAATTATATGAGGGCAACGATCTGAAACAGATTTTTTTTCCTTTCGGCCTCTTATATAAAAGAAAATGGAAAAATTTTTCATTGATAGTTAACCAAAAGAATATTAAAATGTAAGTAAATTTTCATCTTTACGAGAATTTTATAACTTAGTTAATTACATCTCTAAAATTGACTTTTCGAATTTGTTATGATGGGATTGAATTCTCTTTTCTATTCTTTCTTTTCAATTTTGAAAGAAGACTTTTATAAAATATGGTAAATATGTTATATATGTTACATAAAAAAAGAGATTTTTGCTTGATTTTGGATTATCTTATAATTATTTTTTGGATACATGAGTATCATTATGATATTGTTTTGCAGTCGTGGCAATAATTAATAAAAATAGTTATCAAAAATAGCTTTAATGGAGTTTATGGGATATAAAAAACATAATTTGATGAAAGTACTGCCTGGCTTAAGGCGTAAGAATAAAAAAAAAGGAAAACTTATTTACATAATGTACAAAAGGTTTGAGCCGGCCATCAGGAAATAACAACAATGAGTTTTTATAGGGGAAGCGCGACCTCTGGCGATTGACTTAACAGAATATTTGAATCTATGTAATATAATTTTAAATAAAATAGCATTTTAATATAACATATATATGGGATTATTTTATTATGATTTTTTTGTTGTCCTTTTTAATAATTGAAGCAATTGGAATAGAGGTTTATAAAAATGTAGTAATTGTAATATTGAAAGGAGATGTGAGTAAATATCTTAGGTAGGTATTGTGGAGCTTTGTACCAGCAATGTGACGTGTGTTTTACAGTACTGGGCGTGGCGCTTGGAGCATCTCTGGGCGCTGTTATGATCATCATTATCACAGTCGCCTGTCTATATCTCTGGAAGTAAGTCTTCTCTACTCTCTTTTATTCCAGGTACACATGGGGCCATGATAATTATGATGGGTAGTTAGCGACTACCTAATACTGTGGTGGTGTCTTGGCCATGTTGCTCCATGGAAAGGGGGGGTACCATTGCCCCGTTAGTCAGCCACATTTCAGAGTTCCCTGTTCACGGTTACCTTAGCGGCTCACGACACCGTACTTCGCTCTACAGGATAGTTCCTTACTTGTGCTGCTTCTCCCGCCTGCCACGTAGAGGAGGATTTCTGGGCGGGACACAATACAGTAAACGCATCAAATGTCTACGCATGTAGAAAGTAATTTGACATTTGCACTTAGAATGTAACAAAGAAACCGTTTGCTTACTTGCACTCATTGGTGAAGTTGGATTTGTGCAAGAAAAGAGTGCCATTAAAGCATAAAGCTCAATGCGGGATTCAATCCCGGGTTTGTGACTGTGGAAAATAGATGGCGTATTCCAAGTTAAGGTAAGTGAAATCTTATACCATTTTTACATCTATAGTACAAACCTCTCATGAGCGACACCTTTCCTGAGCGACCACCTATATCAAATAAAAATAATTTGAACTGTCAACACCCAACCTCCAATAAAAGACCAATCCCCTCCAAAAGAGACCAGGGGTTGACAAGATTTTTAAGTTTGTGTCTAATGGGAGGAAGTTCTACTGTATTGTATCTCTCTCTCTTCTATCTGACCACACACAGAATAAACAATCAAATATAATTTTGACAAAGTTTTAACTTTATATTTTATATATAGATAAAGAATTCTTCCTGATTTGAAATTAAACGAAAAAACATGATGAAGGAAGAGGAGTTTCTTTTATTGATGCATAGGTGCAAGCTTTCGGGTAAATCGGTTCTTCCGTTAATATCAACATATATAAATAGTTTAAAAACTTTCTTTTTTATATATATTTATTCTTTTCAACCATTTATACCATAGTCCTTTTAAGTCGCTCATCATTTCTCGCCTGTTGAAGGGTTTTTACTCGAAAGCTTGCACCTATGCATCAATAAAAGAAACTCGTCTTCCTTCACCATGTTTTTTTCGTTTAATTTATATTTTACAATTGAAACATTATTTTTCTCTAAATATCCCTTATACTGTCATGGTAGAAATAGGAGAGCATAGCTCATCAAGATGAATCCTCATGCTAAACTGGCAAAACCGCTGGTAGGGCTCACTACTGATGATCCATGCCCTTGCATCTCAACAATTACCAGTGTCGTATAAGGAAGGCATCTGTAGAAGTAGTTTTTGAATTATGAAAAAAGTGTCGTTAAAAAAATAAGTTCAAGTGTTTTAGCAGGGTAAAATATACAACACACTATATAACATACCTAGCTAGATTATAGGTATTTGACCTCTCTGTAGTGATTTATAATATTTATTCATTTTATTGAATGCTTGAGATAATTGGAGAAATATAAATAGGGAATAATAGATGAATATATACATGAACAAATTCAAATCTTATGTTTCGGTTAGTATATGTTTATTTAATTTTGAAGGAAAATATAAGAATAATTTAATATAAATTTTGTTAAGTATTTGAAAGATGAATTAGTATTCTAGAAGTGAAATTATTTTAAAGATTGTTTTCAATATATCAGAAAGATTTCTTGTTTAATTATGTGAAGCCTTAAGTCTTAAAAACTTGTGTCACACTCGCTTCTATTGATTTGACCTATTGCGTGACATGATATTACAGTAGATATTAACGATTCTATATAAATATATAGTTTATGGTGGGGGGGGCAGAGGACCTTCGGCGATTGTATTATTCCTCGCTAAGCCTACTCGCGGTAAATAAAAAAATAGTTCCGTTTCTAAATCAACCTTACTGCATTGATAAAAGTTGTTGAATGAGAGGGCTTGGGTCTTCAGTGGTGAACCCTCTCATTCAATAACTTTTATTATTGCAGTAAGGTCTGTAGAGATAATATTTGATATTAAAAATAAAAAGGCATAACCTGATCAGGAGCACATGTGCTTTTCAGAAGGCAGAGCGCCATCTGGTGGAACAGAAATCAACTATTCATTGATTTAGCCTGTTCCCTGATATTTGGCCAACCCAATTTCTTGATAAATCAAGAAAAGCCATCCACGAACGCGTTTCGCGCTGTTAGCGCTCGTCAACGTGGAGTAGGCTGTGAAATATGTGAAAAGAACCACATTTATTCCAAAAATAATTATTAAACATTTTGTCGATAGATGGCAATTAAATTTTAAATGTAATAACCTAATTTAACCTATCCTAACCAAACCTAACCTAATCTAGCGTATTGGTATACTCGGTGACTCCTTGCTTCCAGTGGTCTTCAGAAATCAGATCTCGCCATTTTAAACAAATGTAGATTTCTACCGCATAGGATTCCACAACATTCGGTCTATCTGAATGAATTATTGACTTCCTATAGTGATAGGTCTGGAAGATGTTACTGCTTGACTCCGAAAAATATGCAAATAACCCTCAAAATGAAAAAAATATTTTTTTTTCGAATTTATCTTCGAAAATTTACTATATGACATTATCTTAAGAGCCTTGACTCTAAATATAATGGTTTATTCACATCATCAAAGTCAAAATTTATCAGATATCAGTTGTTCAGATTCAAAAATTTGAAACATTTTTTCGCATTTGAAATGTATTATTGTATAATTATGTGTGTCAGAAAGGAGGCACTTTCTCCATTTAAAGATGCATTCAAACTGTGGTTTTCTCAATTTTCTCTGAACAAAGTGTTCAGGCTCATATCAGAAAAATTCCAAAACGCTGGTTTTGCCGAATTCAGGAAACTTGTACGAGGTGGGGGTTCGATAGGCGAAATGTAAAAGAAGAATTCATTTTTCTAGCATATATAGTTTTAAGAAATTGAAACTACTTTTGATGCGTATGATTCTTTTTTAAAATGAAACTATTGTCTACTGTCTTTAATTCTATTGATGAATTAATGGTAGGTGCTGGCTCATCAGCTTATGTCCATAGTTCATTTAAAATATCTTTTCCAAGAGGTCAGCTTCAGTATCAGCATAAAAGCAAAACAACGTATTGTAGATTAAACTGGCGAAACCGCTGGTAGGGTTCACCATGATAAGCCAGGTCTTACCATAAATTTATCAATAAATTAAGGGCAGTATTTTGAAAATAATCAAAAGTGTCAAAAATAGTTTCAATTTCTGATAACAGATGGCGGGCATCATATGTATATATTTTTCTGAACGTAATCTTCTTTGAGCTCTGCCCACTTTCCATCGATATTCTAGGGGGTGTTTATATTATCTTCATATAACATTTTCTCGAGGCTGTGAAACGACTCATCCACAGCTATTACCCCTTTGTCTCTACAACCATTTTGAAGATTGGAAAATAGATGGCAGTCGCTAGAGGCTAATTCCGGCGAATAGAGTGGATGTTCAACCCCTTCGTAGCATAGTTATGGCCATTGCTATTTCAATACTATAGTTTCGGGTAGTCATCCGTGTAGGGCAGCTACAATTGCATAACATCCTACAAGAAGGACTTGCTGTCACTTTCCTCAGGAGAGTAACAGCTAATCACTGAAACTTCAGGAATTAAATAAATTATTAATTGATGTAGCTATAATATTTCTTACAATAATAAGTTATGAAATCTGCGGACTCGGCAAAAGAGTTGTCGTACTTGTTATCTCTTTGATCAGAGAAGAAATGCATTGTTGTAGCTCTTTCACAGACAGACTTCTAAACATGAACTGTTATTCAGTACCGCTACTATGCAAGTAGACTTGCCCCAGATGCTGGCTTTCCGTTCATCATTACTCTTCATAATTCATCCTTTCATACCTCATCCAAAATGGTTAGAAATAATCGATATTTCATTTTGAAATAAAAATTTTATTTTTCGTTAAAAGAAACTCATGCGGTGTAACTTCAAGTGTCGTTTTACAATCACAGGCCGCAGTGTATTATATTGTATTATAAGTTACTTTATGTATCATTTACGAACGGAAAAATACGTCCAGGGTAGCCTAGTGGACATGACATCTGCCCGGTAAGCGGAACATTGTGGGTTCGATTCCCATCCCTGGATACTTTTATTTTTCCGTTCATCATTACTCTTCATAATTCACCCTTTCATACCTCATCCAAAATGGTTAGAAATAATCGATATTTCATTTTGAAATAAAATTTTGATTTTTCGTTAAAAGAAACTCATGCGGTGTAACTTTCAAGTGTCTTTTACATAGTGTTTATATAATAAATATAAGAATACATTTCTAATAAGAGATAAACGCTAACGAAAATTAGTTTATTCATTGAAAAGATATAAGCTTAAAGCTTTATAGTATTCGTATTCAGCCTGTTAAAAGATGTTATTATCCGAAAGCTTGCCCACTTATATACAGGGTGATCCAAAAGTCCCGCACAACTTTAAAAATTAATAACTCCGCGAATATTCGCGCTAGAGCAATGCGGTAAACACCATTGTGTTCAGGATGCAATGGGATTTTTTATGGCAAATAATGTAAAATTCGAAACTGATTTTAGTTACAATTTTATTCGCCAGATGGCGCTCTACCAGAATCAGAGATTCAGCGGCCAAATTGTTTGATAAATTGAAAAATATAACTGATCGACACGTATTTTTCTTTTTTGAATACCAAGAAAGAACCCTAATAATATCAAATAACAAATTAATAAAACACCACTTCGCCAAAAGTATGAAGAATTGGTTAACGATTTTCAAATACAATCAGAGATATGTAAAATAGGTAAATGCAAATTAAAACATGTAGCAAAAAGAAAATTGATATTTTAGATACGGTTTGTTTGCGAAGATAATAAATTTCTAATATTTTTAATACAACTCTCTCTCAGTATCGATTATATTTATTTTAATTCATTTGAAAAATATGTATCTATCTCTGATAATTTATTTTACTCTGGAATGCCGTTGTTGTTGTCGTGTCCAATAAAGAGCCTCAGATGTACCATGCATCTCCATCACATCAGCAGCAATGTCCACTATCTTGGGTGTGTAAAGCTGTGCTCTGGGTCTATGTCAAATTTCTGCAAGGCTGCGGCCATTGCTGGACATGAGAATATGTGGGTAGGTGTAAGTTCCACACCAGGACAATTGTTGCATGCCCTATAGGTTCTTGTGCCATCTGGATGTATTGTCATTCCTTTATAGTGTTTTGTTCTAAGTCTTGTTATAGTTTTTGTCATTTTTCTCTCAGAGTTTATTTCGCATTTTGATCTTTTCTTAATTTTTTGTTTAATTATCTTGTATTCTGACAAAGAATCAGCGTCAAATAATGACATTTGTTCTTTCCTTTGGCTCAACTTTCTGGCTTCCTTTGCCAATTCAAATGCCATTTCATTACCCCCGATCCCAGCATGGGCAGGGATCCAATGTAGAATGCAGTTATTCTCCAATGGTTCCAGTTGGGTAAGTAACGAGTGTATTTTCTGTGTGATTTTAGTATTGCCCTTCTGAATTGCTTCTAGAGCGGATATGGAGTCGCTGTATATTAAAATTCCTTCTGCTTGATGCAGGGATGGTTGGTTAAGGCATACATCAAGGGCTTTCCAGATAGCTGTCAGTTCACAAGTGAAGTTTGACGAAATCTGTCCTGCTCCTTCTTTGATTTTGATGTTTGTTCCATCTTGCAGTATTATGTTAATTCTGGCCCCTCCATTACTCAGGCTAAGGTCTGAAGATCCATCTGTATATGCTGTTAAAGGGCGTGTCCTAGCATTTTTAATCAATAATTTGTACTATGAGGACATAGCCGTTAATATTCCAAACACATCAGACCTCGAAGCCCAAGGTATCAAAGTCTACCTCAATCAAAACAAAGCCATCAACATATACAATATGTATCACCCTCCAAACAATAAACTTATTGACGATGGAACAATGGCTAAATTTCTTACAGACAACACTATTATTTTAGGTGACCTTAATGCCAAACATCAACTATGGGGATGTTCTACGCCAAACCCAAGAGGCAAAATACTATCAAACATATTTGACGACAATGCCTTCATGTGCTTAAATGATGGGAATCCTACCCATCATTCCTACAGCTATAATACTGCACAAGCCCTTGATATAAATTTTTACTATCCTGACATTTTCCACAAATGCAAATAGCAAAATTATGGAAAATTAAGAAAAATTATGGAACTTCAAAAAGGCTAATATGATATCTTTCGAAAACACCATTATTAAAGCAGCCAAAGTTTCAATACCAAGAGGTTATATTAAGAAATGGATTCCAAATTATACACACCAGGCAAAAAATATTCAAACACTTATAACTAAAAGAAATGAACTACAAAAAAGTGCACCCAAAACCAAACAAATTGTAGAACTGAACTGAACATTGTGATTGCAAAAATAAAAAGATTATACGTAAATATGAAAAGGGAAAAATGGAAACAAACTTGTGAAAACCTGAACCCAAGAAACCCAAATACAAAACTTTGGAATTTGGCAAAACAAATTGACAGAGTCCAGCCACAAACTGAAAACACAAATATGATTGAGAATACAGATGGTACACCAGCAACTAATGACAAAATTGCTGCCAATCTTTTAGGTAATTCATATCAAATAAGTAGTAAAATCAAGGTTGAAATAAGGCCCGAAAGATTATTCATGACTGTAAAAATGTCACCAGCACTCATAATATTTTCCATGAAAAAAATCAATATGAAAGAGCTAGCTTATGCATTAGAAAACACTGACCTAAACAAGACTCCTGGGCCAGATGGAATCCATGGCCGAATGATATCAAACTTGGGCAAAATTGGCAAAGAAAGACTTCTTAATATTTTCAATAACTCCTGGAAAACTGGAAAATTGCCTCGAGACTGTAAAAATGCAACAATAATTCCCATTAAAAAACTTGACAAATCTGCTGATGACCCTAAAAACTACCGACCTATCTCCCTCACAAATATTTGCTGCAAATTAATGGAAAAAATTATACTCGGACGACTCACCTACCACCCCGACACAAGAAATCTCTTACCAGAAGAACAATATGGATTTAGGAAAGGACATGGGGCAATAGTCCAACTCTTATTTTTCACACAAAAGGTAAAAGATGCACAAAACAAAAAGCCAACTAACCACACCATAGCTGCTTTTTAGACCTTACACAAGCTTTTGATAAGGTATGGAAAAACAAGTTAATTACAAAATTATACAAACATTTCAAAATTGATGGAAAAGCTATCACTTGGATAAATGATTCCCTTAAAAATATATACATCAGGGTCAAATATAATGGCACTCTATCTAAAACCTTCAAATTCTACCAAGGATTACCACAAGGATCAGTCCTTAGCCCAACTCTCTTCACCCTATTTATTGCAGGCATAGAAGACAAATTTTCACATAAAACCAATATTGGACTTTTCGCTGATGGCATTATTCTATGGAGCAGCAACACTAACTGGAAAAAAGCTGAAAGAGATTTGAACAAGACTATTCTCCACCTAGAAAAATTTGCAAATAAACATAAATTAGAATTTAACCCCCAAAAATCTGAAACCTGTCTTTTTACTACCGATAAGAAACTATACAAAATAAGACCAAATATTATTCTGAAAGAACAACAATTGCAATATAATAAACATCCTAAATATCTCGGCTACACCCTGGATCCAGAAATTAACTCCAGTAAACATATTGAAGGAGTTGTTAGAAAAGGAAGAGACCGACTAAAAATCTTGAAATATATTTCAGGAATAATGGAGAGCTGAAGCAACAACACTAAAATTAACTTACACATCTCTAATGAGACCTATCTTGGAATATGGATATCAAATCTATGGTACAGCATCTGAAACAAATCTAAAAACACTGGAAAGGATACAACTAAATGCACCTAGAATTATTACAGGTCTTCGAAATACCTGCCCTAATAATATTGTACTTTGCGAGGCAGACATTATGCCCTTATAGAAGAAGCTACAATCTGCCAAAATATATAAACAAAATCAAGAATTATGGAAACAAACACAGAACTTCCAATTACATACTTAATTGAGAATCCAATCTAAGACTCAAAAAAGAAGGCCCTCCACCTGGCCAAAAGAAATGGATTTTTAAAATATAAAGTGGAAAAATATTATTTTGCTGAAAAAAATATCTACATGCGAACCACTAACAAAATGTTATTTTTAATGCCACTTTAAACGAACCCACCAACAAACAATACCAAAATCAAGGATACTTAAAACAATTATCATTAGAAATAATTAATAAAATTCCTAAAAATGCAATAACTATCTATACCGATGGTAGCAGAGACGAGTTGGGACACACTGGCAGTGGCTCTCTCATTAAAACCACAAATGGCAATGAGAAAATGAACAGAAGAAACCCAGATTTTTGCTCAATCTTCAGATCAGAACTTATAGCCATCTATGAAGTCTTAAAATCCATCAGAAATACTAAACATCACGATATATGGATTCTTACTCATAGTAGAAGTGCCATACAACTTAGAGACAAAGTAAGCAGGAACACAATTGGTTATCTCCAAAAACTCTCAATACCTCAAAAATTCACCTTCAATGTATACCCTTACATGTTAGCATTGAAGCTGCTGATGCGCTAGCGAAAAAAGGCACAAAAGAACCCTTGCTACAGAAAAATAAACTTACTTTTAAAGAAATAGAAACAGTAGCCAAAATAAACAAGAACTGGAGGATCCCACTTAAGCACAGTTGGTACACCCTAGAAGCAGATGGCCACCCAGAACTTTCAGTCCACAAGCCGGCATGCGAAGCATGCCCTTCGCTGCTATTCTGTTCAACTCATAAGCCAAGTAACGGTATCCAAGCTAGTGCTTGGACATTGTACCTGGAAACACCACCTCCCAGACAACGTGTCTGGAAGGATTTCTATACCGGTGGCCTTTAATCACAGCAAAATAGGAAACTATCTACTGTGTCCAGCAGGGACCGCGGGGAGGCAGCCCCCGGTCGACTCTGTTCACTCACAGCTGAGGAAAAGCTCAGCTGCCACGTCGTGGGCTTTCTCAAGAAGCTTGCTGTTATTTCTCAGCA